CACACACACACACACACACACACACACACACACACACACACACACACACACACACACACACACACACACACACACACACACAAGAAACAATTTTACCACAGTTCACAGTGAGTTGATTTGGTGTAACCTTAAAAACACCAAATTTATTGTTATTATTATTATTATTATTATTAACAATTATTAAACCAAATCCCATTAAGATCATATATCTGAAGGTAACCTAAGGTGCATGATTTTGGTCTTTGGGAGGAAACCAGAGTATCCAGAGAAAACCCATGCAATCACAAGAAGAACATGCAAAATCTTCAAACAAAGATCCTATCTATATTTTTTAACAAAGTGTCAGAAGTGAAGTTTAGCTTTTATTGAGTTATGAAATTTTAAGAACACCATTGTAAAATGTTTCAAATAGTGTCCTATCAAACGATGCTAAAGTTTAAATGAAAGATATTTAAGCATAATCACATTTAGACATATTAACACTGGGTATTCTGTTTCTTGATGATGTCACACATGACATATTTAAATTGTTTCTTAAAAACAGTGTTACACTGCACTATGGTATTTTGTTGCTTTCCCCCAATCAAACTTGACAGTTGGTGTGCTATAATACTGCCAGCAGAGGGATTTGTTCTCCAGGTACAGAAAGAAGATGATCTGACACTGGACATGATGCATTCATTGCTCAGTAATCCTATCAGGAGGCAGAGCTTTGCCTGTGTAAAGTCATTGGCTGTGAGCACAGCTGCAGCTTGGCGGTGCCGTCTGAGTCTGTTAACATGGTTGCTGCTCGGACAAAAGCTGAATTTGAGGATGAAAGTTGTTCTGTGGATATTCAGTTTATGCACCAAGTGCAGTGTACTCACCAGAGCTGAGACTACTTTGTTAAAATGTTCCATCTAAAGTAATAAATAATATAATAATTTTGCTGTGTAGGTGTGAACTTATGGCACTTTCATTAGATATGACACACATGCCAACACAGCTCTACAGGACTTGTACTGTTTCTCTAGTAACAAGAGATAAGCTGCACAAGCGATGCCACTTCACTATACACACTGAACCGCTGCATGTCGTTAGTGTTACCCCAAGTATAAACTAATGTGTCTCAGCCATTATCATAAAAACATGCATGCAGGTTTGTCTTTAGTCATAGTGACATGTATTATTAAGGCTATCCTGGTAATTACAGCTACACACTGTCTTGGTTTGCCTCAGCAGCAGTCGGCGAGCACACATGAGCAAACTAGCTAATCTAGTTATCTGTCTAACTGCAATTATTGCTGCAGAGCAGCACAGGTTTTGCTCACATCCATGTTTGACACAAAGTGTGGCTGTTRGATGGGCACAACTATATCAGGAAACAAGTCAGCCTTCCCACAAGAATTAGTTATTATAAGTGAAGGCAAGCATAAGTGCTTGAGAGTGCACAAATTAGTGCAAAGAAAATGCAAAATTTACTGCAAAGTAGCAAAAAAATATTGAGAAAGAAGACACTAAATTAATACACATCTAGGTACTTCAATAATACATAAACATTGGCTTTTTTTCCCTGTTTAATCACAGATTATCTATGAACACTGAAGAACAGTTGCCATCTAGAATTTACTGACCAGAAGAATGAGCATTCCAAATATTATCTCCCACTCTGTCCTACCTGGCATTAACTACTAATCATTTGGGAAATCAACTATACGTACAACCTGGTAGTTTTATTAAAACATTAGTTAGAAAAATTGATTACTAGTGTGAGCTAACAAAGTGAGATGCAATGGCACAAAAGGTAAAGTGTTGTTAAATTGAGAGCTGTAATCCTGCGATAAGGTGTTCTGTGTAGCTTTAGATAAGAGTCCCTGGGACTGTTTTGGGGACTTAATAAAGGAAGGCATACAAGATGTTTAAGCTTTTATAAAATAATTTGCCTACTATTGAGCTGCCACTGAAACATAAGTTTATAATTGAGGTGTTTTTCAGGTAGCTAGCACAGAACGTTAGGTGCTGGTGATGCCCTGGTTTTTCGAGAAAAGGAGGTGAAAGGCGTTTGACATGACTGAAAGCTGGGTGGAGGTTTGTGGCAAGTTCAAAACAGGGGAGGAGAAGGATTCTGGCGTCTTTGAAGAAAAAGGGAACAGAAGCTCTGACATGCCTGGGATGAGGGTGGAGGAATTTCTGACATTTCTCAGCTGTGGCTGAAAAAGAGCTCTTAACTCCGGTTAATACTGTTAACATGTCTCGGGGACAGCTGTAAGAGACGACTGGCATGTTTTGCAGATGCACATTTCGAATATATGATTTGAGTGAGGCAAAGTCTTCTGTCGTCACAGAGCATATTTATGTGAAGCATTCCACCATGACATTTTATCTCAGCAAAAACACGTTCATATTTTGCACATTTCCTTTTAGTTATTATGCATCAACTAAACTGAGGGTGTTCAATCCTGCTCCTTGASGGCCACTATTCTGCATGTTTTACTAATATCCCTACTCTAATACACCTGATTCAATGGTTGAAGTACCTCTTCAAGTTCTGTAGAAGCCTRTTAGTCACTCACTCRTTCAAATTAAATGTTTCAGAGCAGAGAAGCATTTAAAGCATGCATGACAGTGACCATCAAAGACTAGGAGTGAATACCRCTGACCTAAACTATGATAGCAGTGGGCATTAAGCTTCAATAGATTTTTTTTATATGCTAAGCTTGAAACAGACTGAGATTAGRTTTAGGTTATTTAAGCAGTGGTTCAGGTGTTTTGAAGTGGGATCTTGAACAAAAATTCAAAACACTATGATGTCTTTCCTATGTGCCAGACCTGACTGGACACAAACAGTAGTCTAGTTTTGAAAATGTCTCACTCTGAAGAAGACAACCAATTGTGATCCAAGGCTTTAGGGGCAACAGCATGACAATCGCCACTAGCTTAAAAAATAAATCAGGGTAGTAATCTAGGAGTACAGAAAGGATGATGATAACTGTTTTGAGAGTATTATTTTTCTACACATACATCAGAATCAATCAAAAATTTCAAACTTTATAACACAGAACATAGCGATAATAATAACAGAAAATATATCTAATCTGCCAAATAAATTTATTTTTCACAATCTTAAGAAAATCTGCACTTTCCTTGAGTTGTTCATTGAAATATGTTTTCATTAACATCTACACTCTGTGTACTGTTTGTATGTGTGCAGGTTTTAGTATAGAAAATGCCCATGTATTTGTTTTCCTCAATATTTATCTCTCTGCTGTGCAATCCACTCTTTCATCCATTCCTAGATGAGTTCAAGTCATTCCTGAAGAGGCTCCCCTCGACTCATTTCCTGCCCATCAGCAGTGTTCATCTTCTGTGGGGCAGTGACTGGGACCTGCAGGCCCGTTACAGACTCCTTCAGAGTTCCCTAGAGATCCAGCGGCTCAAGATCCAGCGCACCGCCCGCAAGCTCTTTAGCCTCAGCATCCGTTGTCACCACAATCCCAGCCACCAGATGCCTAGGGAGAGGTGGGTGGAAATATGACCTTAATGTAGAATATAAAACCAAAGATTTTGATACAGTATATTTTATGTGTTTCTAATTTAAATGAAAAAAAAATAGTTTCAGACAAAAAAATAGATTTGATTAGTGAGTTTATTTTAAATATTACCTTTTGAACCATGAACAAAGAGCAGGTCATCTATAATAGATTTTAGCTTATGGCTGTGGTTTTTTTTTTTACTTTACATCAAGTCAACTTAGTGCTGAGGCTTGCACATGCCCAAAACACTATAGCTCACTCTTGCATTTTACTTAGAAGACTGAAAAGTAAATGTAGCTGTGGGAGTTTTCTTGTTAGGTCATTGCACACATCTGTCACCACCTACTGCAGCTGCAGCTTAAGAGCCTCGCTGTTGACATACCATGGTGTCGGCACTACAGGAAATGCCAAGAATGTCCCATATCCCACTAGTAAATCACAAAACACCATGCAAACTATGGCAAGATACCGACTGCCACCCAAAATGTCCCCAGAGCTAGTCAGCGTAGGTGGCATCTGTGGGGAAATGGAGGCAGAATCAGTTAAATATTAATTTAAGTGGACCTAAAATCAGCCATTGTCAACTGCCCCTGACAGAAAGTGGAGTACACCCCCATTTGTCTGAGAGAGTTGGCACCGGTTTGTTCTGAAGTGTTATCAAAGAGCTGCAGTATGTGCTTCGTCTTCCATGGAGTAAACATCAAGCGTGCCTGATGGCACAGGAAATAAGAGCAGCGTGTTTATTTGTTTGCTGGTGTGAAACAGCTTTGCATCAGATGGTGGACTTATTTGTTTTCATCACATATTTTAGGAAGGTCTTACCGAGCTGTTGTTGTGCAGGGTGTCATTTCCATAGTCTTTGTCCTATGATCTTTTTTTCTGTGTTCCTATTGGATCAAATATGTTTAACCGTTTATCACTTTGTTTTGTTGTATAATAATGTATAATGTTTAAAAAGTCTGTTGTATTCTACAATCACTTTTATTATCACAGAATGTGTTTTTAGCCTATGTAATAAGCCTTGTCCACKGAAACTGGCTCTTCTATACCACATGATCATTAGGGGACAATTACTTTTTATTTTTATTTATTTATTTATTTTTTTTTAGGAGACAAGAAAGTTGAGCAAAGCTGAAAGCACATTTAGTACATTCTTGGTCTGGGCCAAAGTTGCTCAGGGAAATCTTACTGGCAAACTAAAGACTGCTAAGCTTATTTTTAATTTGACAGTACAATTTTGGAAAAAAAATACATCAATAAAGATGTGACAAATAACATTAATAATGAAATTGAAAACTGTTTTTCCTTGCCAAAGTGACAAAGAATAGGCACCCAGACCTTGAATTCCAACAGATTACATTAAAGATCATTTTGCCCTCCCCCAGGTTATACAGTACAGTATATGTTGTTGTTTTGGCTGCTACCTTCTACAGGGACCACCATAACGAGCAAAACTGCATGGAAGATTTGGCAAATGCTCTTCCTAATGCATCCAAGGCTTGAACCTTCAACCTCAGGATTACAAGACCTAGGCACTGACCAGCCAGCAATCAAAACCTCCGTGCTTCATAAATGTAGAGGCAATAGCACAGTCACACCTGCTCCCTTGTAGAGCGTTTAGCGAGCTGCTGTGAAAATCACATTCAGTGAATTCTCTAGTGGTTTTGAGAGCATCTACACTCCTCTTCTGGGAGAACCCCACCCCCCCCACCCCCCAGCTGTAAATACCTAAGCCTCAATGACTGCTTTGATCACATATTACACTACCGACATAACAGTCTTTAACACCACACAGTCCTCTTGTCTGATCAACAAGTGGGGAATATATGTGTGTGTGTGTGTGTGTGTGTGTGTGTGTGTGTGTGTGTGTGTGTGTGTGTGTGTGTGTGTGTGTGTAGCAAAAACATGGCCACATCTACACACACTGTTGATGTCCAGGGGCTGAGAGATTATAAACAGATTAAAACAGGCGGGCCACACCAAACANGTGTGTGTGTGTGTGTGTGTGTGTGTGTGTGTGTGTGTGTTTGCCACCTTCTCATTCTCTCTTTTTCTTTGTTAGAAAGCATAGGAAATAAAAGAAAACACATGAACCTGAAGGCACAGTGAAGTTTACCACAACACCAATAGCTCAATGGTCTTGAGATAAGAAAAAAAAATAATCCTGCAATATTACAGATAAGCGAGCAAGCCCTCAGATTACAATAAAACTTGCACTTCCAGTGTCTGGACTGCATACAATATCAATATTAGATATTAGAACTTATTGCTTTGCCAGAGCTCTGTGATTTCAAGTATTTGTTGCCATGTGCTGCAAAAGCAAATTAGAAGTGAAAACAGACAAGAAAAAGCTCTTGGGATGCTGTGTTGCCTAGGGAACATGCTTGAATGTATTCCTTTGCTTCAGATTTTCTGAATGTGAACTAATGAACAGCATATTCATAACTATGTTAAAAATAGAGGGACTGCAATATGTAGTTGGTCTTAATGCATCCACATAGAAAGTTTGATTGAATTTAATTATTCTGACTTGCAGCCGTAGCGAAGGGCTTCAATATTAAACTGGTACCATGCAGCTTTTRGTTTAATCACAAAATGGATCCAACATAAATATAGAGGAAGTTACTTCCTGTGTTTATTATTAACCTGATGTGAATCTTTCTAGTGAAATGTAAAACAAAGAAAAGTTTTAAATTTTAATAGCTACATTTTTTAAGAAAAGTCAGACAGTAAATCTATTTAAACAAACTTGTAAAAGATGGGTACCAAAAGCATTCTTGCTGCTATATTTAAAACTTCATAACACTTAACAACCGTATCATTGTTCTGGGTTTACTTCTCCACCAGGCACCCATGCATTACAAGCATCATAAATTCCTGCGGTAAACACTCACAGTGGAACCCTAAATAGATTTGCCAGTGCATTTTCTTTATTAGTATAGTAGCTTCCTTCAGGTACAATGAACTTAAGAGTCTTCATGTAAATGATTAATAGTGACAGATATGGAGTTGGGTTATTCCCAGCCAAATCATTTGCATTCAGTTTATTCACTGGCTTTAATTATTTATGTTCAGAGTCAAACATACTTAATGGTGTGTGACCTTAGCATCTATACAATAATGGAGAGATAGATAATGTTTAACATGCCAGATAGTAMAGTAAACATTTGACTTAGTCCATTTTTTTCTTAAATATGGCTGGGCTAAATTGTTGTATTTTTTAGTCTTTTATTAATTGTTTGTTTTCTTTCACTATAATGTTGCTCTTCCTTGGTCTTCTATTACAAAATTTAATTAAATAACACTAAACAGAGGGAAAGCAATTCTAAGTAGTCCATTTTTTTCTTAAATATGGCTGGGCTAAATTGTTGTATTTTTTAGTCTTTTATTAATTGTTTGTTTTCTTTCACTATAATGTTGCTCTTCCTTGGTCTTCTATTACAAAATTTAATTAAATAACATACTAAACTGAGGGAAATCAATTCTAAGTAGAACGGGTGGTTTAGCTATCTGTTTTTTATTTGTTTATTTTTTCTTTTTTTCTATTTTTTTTGACACCAGGCAGTTGCTGGGCCCAGTCACTTCTTCTTCTGAAAGGTATATAATTTTACATRATAATGTGAAGAATATTTTATGACTGATTAACTGAATTTTAGATACAGTCTAATATGATATCCTTTGTGATTGGTCGCAATTATTTACTTTACACAGTAAGAGAATCAACAAGTCTATTTTTAAAATGTGCCTCACTCCATTAGAATATACTCATTATAGTTTACAGTTCTGACATTCCACCATTGATATAAGAGGAGCCTTCCCAAGGGGGTGTGACCAGGGTTTCGATAAGTTTTATGAAATCATGTGATTTGCAGCCATTTTGTTTAGACTCAGAGCCACAGACAGGCTCGAAATGAAATGGAGTCTTTAGATCTGAAAATAAACATTCAACTGAGAGGTTAATCATTTTTCTACATATTTTTTGGACTTTCAGTCTGAATATTTCTTTATAAATGTATGCAAAAACAAAAATAACCTTAACTTTATTCCATCTCAAGCTGATTGACAGCAGTTTGCAACACTTCAAGGGTGTCTGAAAACATCCTGACACCACTGTTTAGGAAGCTTGATTGGTACAAAATGCTGTGTCATTGATGACACAGCATTTTGACAATTTCATTTACATGTCAAGCTAACCTTGACCAAAGATTTCTCTAAAACTATAGAAATAAAAAAAAGTTACAATACTCTCAAAATGACACAAGAAGATATCTGAAAGGAAAATTAAAGAAAGGAAGGAAAATAAATTAGATGAAGTTAGACAACATTTAGTAAATACTTGATACTGGTTTACATTACTGTATTTCTTTTAACAAGAGTTACATTTTGAATCAGATCAAAAGTATGATCACTGCTAATACGTCTGTCCCAATATCCATCTTCTTTTTTTTTCCAGATCTGTGATGCAGTGGCTCAACAGGGTTCAGTCCTTCCTGTACTGCAACGAGAATGGGTTTTGGGGGACCTTTCTGGAAAGCCAAAGGACATGCGTGTGCCACACAGGAGTCACTCTGTGCCAGCGACCTATTCCATGTGTCATAGGTGGCAACAACAGCTGTGCCATGTGCAGCCTGGCCAACATCTCGCAGTGTGGCTCCTGTAACAAGGGCTACAAGTTATACCGCGGTCGCTGTGAGCCTCAGAATGTGGACTCAGAACGTAGCGAGCAGTTCATTAGCTTTGAAACCGATTTGGACTTTCAGGACTTGGAGCTAAAGTACCTGTTACAGAAGATGGATTCACGATTGTACATTCACACCACTTTCATTAGTAATGAGATCCGGCTGGAGACATTCTTTGACCCACGATGGCGTAAGCGCATGTCTCTGACTCTGAAAAGTAATAAAAACCGGATGGACTACCTCCACATGATAATCGGTCTGTCGATGAAGATCTGTCAGATGAGAAATAGCAGTATTGATCCCATGTTTTTTGTCTATGTCAACCCATTCAGTGGCAGCCATTCAGAAGGCTGGAGTATGCCCTTTGGTGAACATGGTTACCCACGATGGGAAAAGACACGACTGCAAAACTCCCAGTGCTTCAACTGGACTCTTCTGTTGGGCAACAGGTGGAAGACCTTCTTTGAGACGGTGCACATTTACCTGCGTAGTCGTGCCAAGATTCCAACGGGCCTCCGCAACGATACAGGGCAGGGTCCAGTGGATCTTGCAGACCCTAACAAGCGGCAGATCTACATCAAAATCTCTGACATCCAGGTGTTTGGTTACAGCCTGCGCTTTAATGCTGACCTGCTCCGTAGTGCCGTACAGCAGGTTAACCAGTCGTACACGCAAGGAACTCAGTTCTACTCATCCTCGTCCGTCATGCTCTTGCTCTTGGACATTAGGGATCGGATCAACCGTTTAGCGCCTCCTTCTGCACCTGGCAAACCCCAGCTGGACCTTTTCTCCTGTATGCTAAAGCACAGGCTGAAACTGAACAACAGCGAGATGATTCGAGTGAACCATGCATTGGACATGTACAGCACAGAGATACTAAAACAATCAGATCACCTGACTGCTAAACTCTGTTGAGCATAACATTAACACAAGGACAAGAAATTAAAGAAACATCCAACTTAACTATGAGGGAATGTTAATTTAATTTAATTTAATTTTTTCCCTTTTCATTTTTTGACCTTTTCTGCCTTTTGATGTAATATTAACTTTGTAAGTATAATTCTTAAAAAAAATAAAAAAGAAAGAGGAAATGCCATTGATGAAAAGCTGTTTTGGCAGATAAAGAAGATCAGTGGAAACATTACAAAGACTGTATCATATTTGTCCCAGCATGTCTGTACTTCCCTTAAAGAACTTAAAAGAGAGAGTGGAAAAAAAATATATATTAAATCTGTGTACTGGTGAAAAGGAGGCCTTGATTATAATCTAAGGGATCAAAGGTTATTATATCTGAAACTGCCATTCTTTATTGAGGAAAAAAATACATTTTTAAAGGAACATGAAAAAGAAACACAAGAGCAGAGAAGATATCATTTTATTTCACCAAACTTGAAGGATATTTCAGACATTATGACAGTTTAGTATTAAAATGTTTATACATTGTAAGGAATAAATAGGTCTAGTGAATAAGTAGTCACTACATTACTTATAAACTCTTTATTATGTTTCAGACCCACAGTAAATCTGCATTGCTCTCTGTGAGTTATTCAGCATTCTGTCATTGTTCTGACACAAAAGGCGCACAGCAGGGCAGTAATGGATATTCATGTCAAGTAACAAAAGCCAGCTGTTTATATATACATATATGTGGGTGAATGTGTGTAAGTGTGAGAGGGCATGTCTGTATTTTTTTCCTTCTATTTTTTTTTCCCGTTTTGGCTTAATGCGTAGTGCTGTTTGTTAATTGAATGTGTCACTTGAGATCGACCCCTGTCTTTGCAGAATTTTGCATTTCGAGTGCTTTTTCACCCCCTTGTGTTTGAAATTCCAGCTGTTGTCTCTTTTTCTTTCTTTCTTTCTTTCTTTCTTTCTTTCTTTCTTTCTTTCTTTCTCTCACAAGGCAGTACCTCCTGGTGCGTGAATGCAATATTGTGGTCTGAAGATTTAACAATCAATGCTATTTTGTACAGCTTTGCAAAATGTACATGTTGTGACTGCTGATTTGTGGAGCTTTTAAGCACCAAGAGCAAAGTGTAAAGCATTCATCGTTCAGGCACATTTGCAAGACAACTTAAAGCCATACACTTCTCTGAGGTATAGACATACAGTATGTCATAAAGTTCATTCTGACTTGTTCCATTCATATGTCTTTGTTTCATTCTCTCAAATGATTTCAGATAAGAGCACAGCAAAAAGTAAAATGACCCGGGAACGCATACTGTATTATCTTGACCGAGATTGTGTTGTAAAGCCATTGAATTTGTATTTTGTGCTGCAGGAAAAAGAAGACAAAGACAAAGAAGAAAAATCTTATATTAAAGCTTATAATACCTTTTTGGCAGTGTTACTCTGTAAGCTTTTGATGACCATGTGTAAAAATGTCATTTTCTTTTGAGATATAAAATTTAACATCCTCTGCATGTTGCTGACGAGCAAAAAAGGAGCTGCAACTTTGTTCAACACTCAAATCATCAAACTGAAACATGAAACACTACCTATGTATGGATGGTAACACTTGATTTGGGTAATCCAATACTGAAACATCTTTAGTATTGTAGTGTTCATCACAGGTCTTATCAGCTACTAGATATTGAAGAAAAGAAGGACAAAAACTTATGCAACTCATTTATTGCAGACATTGGTAAGTTAACACAGGAAATCAAAAGTATATTTATTGCTGTGTTACCAGCACTAAAACGTTTTCTTTCCTCTGAGGCAAAATTTGCTTTTACATTATTATTGAAGAAGCAAATGTTGTGTTAATCAACAGCTGAAAATTGTGGGCCTATTCAGTTTAACAATACACAGCCTGAGACAACAAAAGCTCAGCTTTGTCTTTTGTTTAAACCTATACTGCGGTGCTTGCATCAGAACATTCAAATAATTGTCAACTGGAACTGGAACTGAAAAGCATTAGCACAAAATGCACGATGCTATGTTTTATTTGACACACAGTAACTTTATGCTTGTGCTAGCTTTGTTTTTTGAGCAATCCGGTGTATTCACACATACTGTACATGGAATGAAATCTATTGAGTGTGAATCATTGAATAATCATTCTCAGTATTTGCCAAATTACTTTTGTGATAAAGCAATGCTAATACAACCACAGCAAAACATTGACAGTATATGTGCTGTTGTTGGGTGTTTATGCATGTTAAATTGTTGTCTTCGTAGTCGATATGGAGTCAGATGTGCAAACTGTTTTCAAAAGGCAGTAACTAGTGTGACAATCAAAAACATATTTGGCTTTTCCTCCAGGTACACAACTTGCTGTTTGTGGTTAAAAATATTCTGTGACAAAGCATTTGCTATGCAAGTAAGTCAAGATTCTACACGATGTATTTTGTGAAATGACTGATGTTCCCATAAGAAGACAGAGCTGAGCTGACAAACTAACAGAACTCTTAAAAGACCTCTTAAAGGTCAGAACCATGAACGTTATGTTATTTTCTTGATTGTCAAGTATCAGTATTGGATTATCCAAATTAAATTATTATTATTATTATTATTATTATTATTATTATTATTATTATTATTATTATTATTATTATTATTATTATTAAGTGCCTGTTATCAGTCCCTTTAATCTGTTCAGAGTTTAAAAAAAAAGCTTAAATTTCCTTAAAGTAATGACTTTGAATAGTTCCAGGATTTAGGACCCTACCTTTTATTCAAACATATTCTCCTGGCACCTCTGGTACACTACACCTGGAAGGAGGTTTGTGCATGAGGGGTAACTGACCACCAGGCAAAAACAACAAATATTAAATTAACGGTGGMTATTTTTTTCTCCCTGTTGTACAATATATGTGTAAATAGGATCTCCATTGCAGTAACAATGCTGTGCTACCGCAACACTATCATAAACTATCAGTATTAAAAGGGAATTTWAAAAAAACCCTCCAAATAAATTAGCACAAAATACTGGGCACTCATGTTTTATGTACTGAATTTGGTTCATGACCATCTCTGACTTTTTTTTTATTGTTGTATATTGCATTCAGTTTTGAGCCACATAAATGGTCCATAAAACAAGCACATTTATTCGTATGGCATTATGCTACCACAGTGTTGCTTACTGTACATGTATTCATAAATTTGTCTGAGCGTTTTTACACCTAATACCTTGCCTATGTATTTTTTTGCTTTTCTGTTGAGATTATTATATCAGCTAATTTTAAATGAATGTTTCATATAATAATCTATTTCTCATTAAAATGTTATATTTAATAAGAAGAGCAAGGCTTGTTTGTACAGTTTCCCTTTACCAAAACTACATTCAAATTTAGTGCTGTACTGTAAAACACTTTTACTTTTTACAAGTAGTTTCAATATTACATGTGGTTTCAAAGTAGAAGCCTCTTTTGCTGCCAAAACATCTCAAACCAAGCGCTTTGGCAAAGAACACCTATTGATGTCTTAGAGCATCTTATATTAGAAGATTACCAATAGATCCCTTGGGCCTGGTGGTGTCTGTTTAGGCTTGCTTCCAACAAATGCCATCAGATCCTATCAGATGTGTGTTCTGGGGAATTTGGATGCTAAATAAATAACATCATCRTTTTTGTCCTCCTTGTTGCACAATTTTAAAGTGTTTTTTCTTTTTTTGTGAATGTTTGTACTGAAACCAAAAGCGCTAAAATGGGTAAAACATAAAAAATTGGGCTATTTTTATATATATTTGGCTCCTTTTTAATTATATGTTGTTTGTTCTTATCACCTTTGAGATTATTGTTATAAGACGTTATGTGGAACAAAATAGTGTCTGTGTAATATTCTAGAGTTGGTGCTACTGCAGCATTTAGGATTAGAGGTTGAAGAAAAAGTAACAATAGGCCATTACAGAGTATTCACACAGGAACCAGTAGCAACTTATACCTCTGTAATAGTGGTTGATACTTTTTCCACTGATGGAAAACTCTGTGGTGGAAAATWGTTTTTWTTTTTTTTTTACTTTGGCCCAACAAGTGGGCATTTCCAATAATCCTTTTAGTCTGCCTCCATTCCTGACAGCATGCACCCCAACACRCAAGTAATTATCATGACTTAACACATGCAGTACAGACAACAAAACAATAATGATGCATTGTAATGCACCATCTTGTATTTTATCAGCGGTTCTTGTTGTTTTTTAATTTTTATTTTTTTTTTTACTAATTTAAAACTTAGTAAGGAAGCTTTACTTTTATCCATATTCCTTTACAATCCACCCCAAGCAAAATTACAGACCCACAATTCAGTTCCTGAACTGGAACACCTGGTGTAGAGAAACAAAGTTCACCTGGATAATTTAAAGTGAATATGAAATCCTGTTTGGGTAGATCTTTTTGGCATCTGCAAGATGTTAACTGGGTGTGACATGTCGTTAAAAAAACCTTTAATAGTCATTTGACATAGATAATAAAATACAGCAGTAGGCTGCAACAAATCAATGGTTAGATGTTACAAGTGCATCGTCGGTAGTCCCAAAGCAAGTGGTGCGAGCTCATTTTGCTAAATGCCATCACCCTTTTTTTTCCTCTCTCCTCTTGAGTCTGTCTCACCTCTTCTTTAAACGTCTGTAGTTTGAGGGACTGAGGTGTAAGAAGATCTAAAGAGAGGAATCCAAACTTTAGTATGTGGTTGTCTTTCTTTTTTTTTTTTTGGAGCAGTAGGCCAGGCTTTGAATATAATGAGTTGGATGCATTGGTAAAGGTAAGTTGAGGTGGATTTGCATTGTTTTGTTTGCCAGTTAGTAAATGAGTCCTGTGTGTGGAGCTCCATTTGAACTATTAAACCCTAAAGAGATTATTTCTTTATGGGATAAAAACTCTAAATATGTAACTTTAATGAACATAGATTGTACTTGATGGCTAAATAAGTGCCCAGAGAAGAAAAAAATAAAATAAAATTGGCTTTTTCTCTCTCTACACGTAGTCAGTTTTTACACATGTAGCTCCACCCATTTTAATTCCTGCCATTTCTGCCTTGTAAGTTATCCAAATATTTTAWTTTGTTTACAAAAAAATGTGTAATGTGTTATGAGCCACATCAAAAGCGCACTAGCTTACGGCTGTGTCCAAAACGGCAGGCCGGGTCCTCAGAAGGCCGAATTCGTCGGCCGCATACGTCACAGCACCGCAACGAAGGCCGTCCAAAACAGAAGACTCCTCCGATGCGGCCGACAAATACGTCCTTCCTTTTCCTCGATTTGAAGGACAGGTCTGATGGATCCTTCCCAGCCCAGCGTATCCCATAATGCTTTGCGGCCCGACCTGAGGTTTTTTTAAGCTAGTAATGGCGGACGAAGCGAGACAAAAGAATACGTTTTAAATAAAAATATGGCGATATAATTTTTTTTTTTTTTTTTTTTTAGCGGTTGTAATTCTAATACTTTTATCATTTGTATAGACATGTTTTTAAATATTATTTTTGTCATAAAAATGTGAAATAAACATGAACCTACAGCGGGTCAATTAGTTCTTCAAATGTTACCTTTAAGTTAATTTTATGGTTTTGTGATATTAATATTGCTAATATATTGATATTTTTCTAGTTTTGATTTAAGTTTGCTTGTTTAGTGTAGTTGCTTGGTGACATGACGTAAGGATGGGACACTAGACCGTCCAAATTCACAGCCTCTTTTTTTCCGGCCTTCCCGGTCTACCAAGGACCTGGCCCACCTCGACTGGGTAGTCTGGGTCCCCTGGAGGACCCGGCCTGTCGTTTTGGACACAGCCTATGTCATGCATTAAACAAGACACATGTGCAAACCCTAATTTGTTTCCTGGTCATCAGAATGTTCCTGAACAAACTCCCTGATGTCTGAGTAAGTTTTATATAAACATTTTTTAAATGAAAACATTTCCAGACTTYTAAAAATCTGTACACAGCAATGTCTAATCTGCATTAGCACAGCCTTGGCTACACCTCTCCTCCCAAATCAGCTCAAGCAGGAGTTTCAGATCCCAGTTAATTACCAAACAGGAGTCACAAAAATAAATAAATAAATAAAATAAAAATAAACGTGTGCCTTAGGAAAACTGCAGAAAGACAGCACTCATAAAGTGTTGTACTTGCATCAGCACTGTGTGAGATGTGATTAAAACTCCAGAACATTTTACATCATTTTATATTGGCAGGCATGAAGCTTTTGGAAATTGGGAGAGCAGGTCAGGACAGAAATACTGACATATAATTCCCRCTAAAATAAGTAAATTTGTGTATGAAAAAAAAAACATAATCTTACTGTCAAATGTAATTATAAAAAACTAGAATATGCAAAACAGTTGATCCAGAAAAAAAAGATGATTATTTATATTTGTTGTATTTAATCAGCAGTGTAAGAAACATGTTACTTTCTTTAATATTTATTTGCCAGTCAAATAAGGTAAATTATATTTAAAATAATGACMTCACTACAGCTATTTGTGTCATCCTACAGTGTGATTTAAATCACTTTTTATGTAATGTTAAAAAAGTTCACCACTTAAGTGATGCATTCAAAGTAACTTTAATTGAGGCAATATTTTAAACAAAAGAGAAAATAGCAACATTTCCATCAGGTAAATGCCATTTTGTGTTTTTTTCTTTTTAAATTGAAAAAAAAAAAGAAATTGCAACCTAGAATGTGCTACCTGTTAATAAGAACCTCAAAGGTAACTGACAGCCCATTTAAAGTTTAATGAGGGGAAAAAAAATGCTTGTTAAAAACACATTTTGCTCATGCTGAGAAATTGAATTTTGTATTATTACATTTTTTACTCTGTTTAATTATTTAAATTTCTGAGAC